TTTTTTTTTTTTTTTTTTTTTTTTTTTTGGTGTAATCCTTTATGAAGCAGGCAGAGTAACTTATGCTTGCAAAGTTCTTCCTTTCGCCAGAATTAGACGAAATAATTAAAGGCTAGAAAAGAATAATTGCACAAGATGTTAACAAAAGAAGCCAGCAAAGCTAAGAAAGGAAAGCAACAAAAAGTAGTTTTTTTTTCAGCAGTTAGTCTTAGATCTAACACTATAATACTGTGAATAATAAACTACTTTTTAAGAACAGAATTAGGCAAAAAAAAGTCATGTATTATCTACCTGCTACACCTTACCAACTTTTTTCTCTTAACTCATTTTTCTGACCTTTCTAAACTTTCTTCTGAACTTAGTTTTGTTCAACTAAGCTAACATTATGATATTCTAAACAGTAGCTACAGTTTTTAAAAAGATTTAGCTGCGTGCCTAATAATCTCTATGATTTGTTGCTGTTTTAACCCAGAAAAAAATCACCAAAAGACAGAAATGAAAGTGACAAAAAAAAGTTGTCATTATTTATCAATAATTTATTGTAAACAAATTAAAAGTTGATATTTTTTATTCATAAATGATACTATTTTCAATATGCCAAAATTGGTTGAATATTAGCAGTTGTCATTTAGGAATTTATGAAGTATTCAAACTTGTTTACAGTACATCATCAGTATTCTGACAAGAATGATTGGTTTGAAAAGTTCTGTTTTAAGCAGAAACTTGAAAAATAAAGAAAATTATGAAAAGTGATGGTATTAGCACTAGGTTAATTATTTGGGAGCTAATGTGTCGTTGATCCGATTGCGGAATCCGTGGGGAACAAAACACCAGTGGAGTGGGCCGTTTGGCGATACCTCAACCGAGTGGAACTACGTGTTACCAAATGAAAGAAAAAAACTGCTAGTTGTAGCTGAAGATGGAGAATTTTGGTAATTGTTTTTATTAAGCTTGTATATGATACAGTTATTTTCAAGCTTAACTGCAACAGTCACATAAAATAATGAAATTTTTTTTTTATTAATTTCTTGCATACTCACTTCTTGCCTCTTTACTTCTTATCCGAAAATTTTTATTCAAAGAAAATTAGATATATGTGATGAGATAATGGACTCTTTGGACTCTTTTTAATGGACTCTTTTTAGAGTTTTGCTAGCTGGACTTATAGCCTTATTTCTTCGACACTTATTAGAAAATAATTTAGATATTATTTTCAGGATGAGTTTTAATGATTTTTTCCGTCAATTTTCGACAGTTCATATTTGCATGTATAATCAAGATTGTGCTAATGAATATCCGAAAAAGTCAAACAACTATTGCCGGGGTTATTCGGCTTGGCACTTAACAACCCTCTGTGGACAGTGGTCTAAAATCGAATGCACTGTTGGTGGCTGGACTACAGGTTTGTTATTATTTTTGTTGAGAGAATTAATTTATATTATGCTTTTTATTTATTTTCAAAATATTTACCAACTGATAATTTAAGGCGATTTGGCCTGTAACCCTCAATATTCAATTAGTGTTCAAAACTCTCGGCAACAGGAAACCACTTTGGTAATTGAAGTGATGCAAAAACATGGAAAAGAGCTACAAGTAACCAAAAATCAAAAAAATTAATATAAAATTTTTGCATTGTTTGCATCCTTAATGTTAAAAACTGCAATTTAAGGGGATCTACTTCAAAAAAGTTGGTTTTGCAATGATTAAACGTAAGCGAGCTCTTGGAAGGGTAAGTCAGGAAGAATTGTGGACTAATGTAACATGGATTATACGACCAACATTTGAACGAGCGAGACAGGTATATTTAGAATACTCGTTGTAATAGCTAGTTTTTTTTTTTTTAAATATTATCAATTATTTACTATCTATTGCCTCCCAATTACCGTTTAAGGGAGTAATCAAAAAAGAACAAGACCAAAGTTTTTCCTTTTTGAGTTGCAAAAAATGCATTTTTAACATTTTGTTAAAGGTACCTTTTTAACTGACCAATATTCTAATAATTGATATTCATCGCTGTATTTTGCTGAATTTTAGGAGGTTAAGCACAGATATGTGCCACCTGGTGACTATCTGCTTATCGTATCAACCGAAAGTGGTAATGAAAACGGTGAATTCCTTCTTAGGGTTTTATCATCTCAGAAGGTTGACATCAGGTTGTGACTGCATTTGGCATATCTTCTTCATTTCTAATCGTTATGCAAATAATTTTACAATTTTTTACTTAATAATTTCTTACACTTTTTCTTTCTAATAACCTCTGTCGTCAATGATTTACATCGCAGAAGAATGTAAACAAAGTTCTTCTTTTTTTCAGGGAATTGATTTGACTTAAACATACTGGCCGATTGTTTATTTTGTTCACAGAATCAAATAAGGAACTTTTGAGGTGCTCAACTTAATAAATGGCTGTATATTTTGGAACAACACTAGTATATGTACTGTCATTGATCTTAGTATTTTCTTGTTAAACATTTTTTATCAGCTGTTATTGTATTTTTTTTAAATGAAAAAAATTGGCAAAATATATATTAATATCAGAAAAATTTGTGCTGCTACTCCAAAAATGACAACATATACTCATTTATTTTGCACTACCATTAAGACAGTTTTATTCCAAAAAAGTGGTCAATTTTAAAACATTTTAATCATTGAAATGTACGAGTACGGTTCTAAGTTAGTTACTAAATTGATATCAATTTTATGACACCTTAATTAAGAGGAAGTAACAATTTTTGAGAGGATTTATTTTGTCTTATTAAAGAGACAGAAGTCTTTGAATACTCGAAAAATTATTGTTGTCAACTACAGCATACAGCGCTGTATTTCATTTGCTTATCATTTATAAAATATATTACATGTTTGCACTTTTCAAAAAGAGCTTTAATTTTAGTCTCAAATTTAATTCTGACATATTTAATATTGCTATATCTCATATTTATCAACCAGTTTCATCTGTTTTTCTTTTACAGTCGTTTTTCTTCACAAAAATGTAATATCACTATTCGCAAAAAAAATTTTTTTTCACATCAAAAAAATAAAATAAAATGAAAATAAAAAATATCTTTCACAAAGGTATATTTGACTGCATATATATGTATGCTTATTTTGTTTGTTCTTTTCGTTTCTTTGCCAAATACATAACTAGCTCCGAACGTCACTTTTAAGAAGTCATAGAATATGAGACAAATAACTGAGACAATGAGACAAACTGTTGACCTCGTTCACTTTCCTCTCCTTCATGGTTCCAACCAGAAAATGCATGAACCAAATATGGGTGCTGCGCGTAAAATTACGGAGACATTCCCTAATAAAGCATGCAATTTCGCAAGAAAAAAAAAATACTTTTCAAAAACTGGTGAAAAGATTTTGAGCTGATTTGCAGTTATGTTTATATTCCATTTAAACTTCCTGAGTTTGGAATGGAAGTCTCATTCATTGAGAAGAAAATAGAAAAAATACAATTTTACTCGTCATTAATGCACAAAATAAATGGAAAATAGGATTCAATAGTTCTTATTCAAAATTCTTAATTTTATAAAACATTTTTTGCTGACAAATTACTCGGTATAGGAAAAAGAGAATGCTTATCTTTGAGAACTCGTGTCTTCATCACTAAAGCAACATTTTTCTTCTGTTTGGTATTTACATGTATTAAAGGATAGACTGGCATTTTGTCAGTTTTGCCGCTTACGAACCTCGTTTCGGTTTACAACCGCTAAGTCATGGAACAATGCTGACAGACAGTGCAAAATAGAAGGAAGCGCACTGGCAACATTTCCGACATCAAATTTGTGTCAGAAGACAACAGGTGAAACTATATATTTAACCACAAGGTAGAATTAGATGGTCAAACTGTACTAATTTTTTTAAAGAAAGGACATATGATTTACGTAGGTATATACCTTCCAGGAGAAAGTACACCAGCAAAACAGACAAATTTCTGAATTGAGGCACTACTACTACAGTAGTCTCCTGCACACTCCCTACGTGGGTCCTTCTCGTAGTACACTAGATTTACTGTGACCAGAATTAGCCACTTACGAATCACAGCTACTAACCAAACAAACTGTAACTTGACGAACTGTAATTTACTGCTATTTGAGATCTTTGATTTGTATGTCTCCAATCTCCTAAACGTTAACGTCTTTCTGGAATTTGGAGAGAACTACGTGCAGGTCTGAAACCAGCAAAGAAGGGTTAAAAACTGTCGAGAACCTTGCAAACAAAAAATTAAGTAGGGTTGATTGCAAGAAGGTATGATCGCAGTTGAGTACCCTTAATTGCAATTGTGTCGATTGGTCTTCTCGCGGATTCTAGGGTGGTACTGAAACGCTGTAAAAGTACTCGATGATTTTGAAATTGGATCAAGTTACTTGCACTTTGAGACCTTCGGTGTTGAAACAGCTAGACATTTTCAAAAGAAGGATAGTCAAATGGATGAAAATTTAACTGCGCTGCAGCGCAAATTTCTTATTTTAGTTCCACAACCTGGTCAATATCCTGAACAAAGGTATTTTGCGCGTGTGTCATAGGATTAGTACACGTAGCTGATAAATGACGATAGCTGTACAAAAAAAGTGTGCCTGGAAAATGGTGAGTAATTTACGAAGACCCAGCTGTAAAATTGATAAAAGCGTTTAATTTTCAGTAAAAATCTTGTGGGACGTGTCCTTTTTTAATGTACTGGAACGACGATATTTGTTTAAGCATTAAACGGGAGTTTTAATTTTGTCCAAAAACTGGTCAACTTTGTTATAAAGAATTGAAGGTTTATCAGTCTTTCTTTACAAAATATTCGTAGGTGAAAGTGTTTTGTTTTTGGAATTTAGTAATGCGCACTTGGTAAGTGTTCAAAGAGAACTTGATATTTATAGATGAAACACTTCAAAAACTTTATCAGCTGAAAAACATAAAAGAATTTTAGTGGATGAAAAAAAGCTTCAGAAAGTGTGAGATTTTGGTAGATTTACATTTGCCACGGTTCTACAACGTCTGAATTTTTCATGCAAGATATCTTTGCAGCTTACCATGTCCTGACCACTGCAATTAAAATTTCTTGACCTTGAAGAGTATCCGGTAGTTATCTCACATAGAAATTTGTTCAAAATCGCAGTACAATCAGTGCAGATCCAAAAGGAAATCAAGAATTGCGTTCATGACGTTTGACTCAGTCGAGAGATCTTTCAGGTATACACTCGGAGCTTTTGCACTTTAACGGTTCCATGTACATATTTGACGGGCCATAAAAAAAGCCCTTCCCCTCGCAGTCAGAGGTATGGAACAGTAGTACAGGATGGTTGAAACGATATCACGTCAGTATACAAAAAATGTTTAACTACCCAAGCCTAAGGCAAGTACAGCATTGGTAGTAGTAGTGAGAAACTGTGGACGGGTTTCACCTTTTATAGCAGTAGAAGAGCAGATGGGTTGACGTCGCACAACTCGCTCTGGTGATGCAAAATGTGGGAGCGTGCGATGTGCGACATCAATTAGATGTTGGTGGTTTGTTTATGCGTTGAGGAAGACTTATTTTTGCGCAACTTTTGCACATTCTTGCTTTATTCTCGGGACCAGAAAGAAAATCTTGATTGGCGCCTCTCAAATGAAGGGCTTTTCAAAAAAATGAAAGAACGCTTGCTGGTCGATCAGGAGCCGATAAAAAAGAGCTCTCACGTTTACACAGTATTGCGACAATACGCGAAAGGCAATCGCGAACTACAGCAGACAGTCACTGCCATATTTATCGCTGGGAGGACGCTTGTGGAGGGTAATTAGTTGGTCAGTCTGCTCAAAAAACGCTTTATAAAGCGTCGTTACAGCTACCAGGACTAATAATTTTTAGTGTTTCGATCAGTATCAAATCAGTCTTCAACTGAATCTTTGGAGCTCTTGCCGACTGACGGTCCCATAGT